ATGCAGCTAAAAGAAAAGCAAATGAGGACATAAACAAAGAACAACAACAAAAAAAATCAAGTAAATATTTACCATTTATCTGCCTTTATTTTTTTAGGAATATCCACTTAATATATTTTTTTTAAATATCTAGAATGTCCTTGTCCAACTTGTAAGAGGACTAATCATTCACATTCTTCAGGCAACCTTTGTAAATTTCAAAAACATTGTGCATCCAAATCTGTTCAAGAAAAAAACACAAAATACAAATGATGCACAGTAAAAACTGGACTTGGAGGATTCCTTAAAGATAAAGATCTTGAGCCTGCAATCCAAAGCGCTGTTGAAAGAATGACTCAAATTGTTTTTGAAGGCTCTCAATTGGCTAACCAAACAGCACTTTATCACATGACCCTTGGTGATCAATTTCCTTTCAACACAAGTGAAGGTGCTTTCAGTATATGAGGCAATGTTTCCAAGCTGTAACTACATCCCAAAACATCCCTGACACCACCAATGAACCCATCATAAATAATATTTGAGATACCCTCTATACACAATATTGACCTCAAGGAATGAGTTGGACAAATAAAAAATCATTAGGACAACTTCTCTCCTCTGCTGCATGGCAATATGTTACAAATTGTCAGAACCACATAACAACAAATCTTGATAACTGACTTAAAAGATGGATAAAATATAAATTATTTAAAATTCATCAATTTCCTTTACCCAAAAAAACACATCAACACCATTATAAACCATTTCTAACTTGAAAACTTGAGATCTCCCTTCCCTCCCTTCAAACATTAGTGATAAACTCTCTACATCACATCTGCAATACCTAATTTATCTTACTACCCACATTCAATAAATTCATTTGAAAGTGCAACAAACATTATTCCAAAACCAAGCTCTTGATGATGTGTCTGTAAAAGCATCCTGGTGGTCATATCTTTCAGGTCTTTATAAAATCCTGTGCACCTTTACCAAACATAACAGGGAATGTGGTCTCCATCTCTTCACACTTATGCCTGAATATTCTTTCCAACAAAAGTACATATTAGTTGATATTGATGTTTTATATTATATGTACAAATCAATTGAGAAAGTAGGAGTAACAACCATTCAAAGATTCAGAACTGAAAAGGAAATTTGGTTGATGGAAGCATTTAATATTTAATAAAGTCACCACCCAAAATCGAATCTTTGCTTACTCCATACAAACTGATGGTCTTGCAGTATCAGTTGGTCTGGAGAAGAAAGTTGATGATGATAAAGAGGATGTTGATTAAGAAGGATTAAATATTGATTTAAATGGATGCAAAGTATTTGGACTGGATCCTGGAAGAAAATATCTGTTTATGGCAGTGAGTTCAGATGAAAAAGTTATAAGCTGTTCCAACAAGAAGTACTGGAACTTAGCAGGGTTTGTTCGTGCTTGTAACAAACAAAGGAACACGATAATTATAAGCCACATAAAACATATGTCGAATATTCGAATACACCTGGTAAAGTGTCATTTGATGGCAAAATACCAAACAACCAATCGAATCTCACAAAAAGTTTAAGAGGAAATATTAGAAATGCGGTGATAATTGAAAATAATGATTTTAATATTATTGATAATGGCAGTGATAATAGTATTGGTAATGGCATTGATAACAATGAAAATGAAGAAGATCAAAATCCAGTATTAAACAATGATGATAATATAACTCGAACATTACCATTACAAGATTCTCAATTATATCAACAACACAATCATCAGATGGAAAAAAATGACAGCAGTGTTGAGGGCAGTGGCACGTTGTCGAAAAAAAGTAGTTTTGAAAAATTACGAGAAGGTTCCCCCGTCAACAACAACAATATTCAGCAACGACCACGTGGTGCTCGTCCATTAGATAAAAAAACAATTTTTATACCCATTCGTATGAATAATAACAACGTTAATAATGTTGATGTTGGAATTATAGTTGGAAGTAAAACTGAACAAGTCCTTATACCTGAAAGTCCGATAATTCCAATACATAATCACCATATTCAACAACAACAGCAAACAATTTTATCGTCGTCTATCCAAAATGATGATAATTATCTACTGAAATCAACAACAACCACTGCCATTTCTTCTGCCATTGCCATTGCTGCTGTTCCTATTACCAATATTAATAATAATATGATAACATCTTCACTAAGTGCAAATACTGAGCCTATTCCGCCACGTTCAAAGTTACGAAGAAGTAGTACATCATCATTTAATCAATCACCAAGATCACCTTCTATATCATCATCACCTATTATGTCACCATCACCTTTACATCAAAATAGTCACACTAGGACAATATCAGATAATAATATTTATTATAATAATCTAAATCAACAACAACAACAACAATACCAACAATCTCGTCAGCAATATAATTACAATAGACAACAACAAAAAAATACAATATCCAAACTTTCATCGTCATTACCGACAACATCAAGGACTTTAGAAAATGACGAATTTTTCCGTGAATTAGAAAAACAAAAGCAAAACATAATTGATGCAAAAAAAAGAGAAAATCTTATGAAGTCGACTAAAGAATTAGAATTTAATTCGTGTGGTAATGGTAGCGGAGAAAAAAAGATAGTTAATGTTGTTGATGATGGTGATAATGATTATTTACAAAATGTTGAAGAAATAATGAATAATCTTGAAGTTGGATCAGATAAATATAAAATAGTCGATGTTATTGTAAAGATGAAACAACAATTAAAATACTACAAGGTTTGGTTTTATTTTTTTATTTTTTAATATAATTATGAATTATTATGAATGAATTAACGGATTAATCTTTTTTCGCAAAAAAAAAAAGACAAATATAAAACTTCAGTCACAATTAGCATCACAAAAAATTTCAGAAAGTGAAAAGTCTCGTATAGATGCATTAGACGAAGTAGCGTATTATAAAGCAAAACTACAAAAATATGAAAACACATCTGCTTCAACTGCTCTTTCCATCGTATCATCAGCACATAAAAACAAAGATACAAATGTTCATGTTCATGATCGTGATCAACATAATGAACAGCAACAACAAAATTTAAGAACAATTAAATTACAAAATTTACAAATAAATCAATTAAAACAAGTGTTGAAAGAACAACAAATGATATTTGATAAAGTACAAAAAACATTGGTAATAGCTAATAAAAGAGCTGATGATACAGAGCAACGATTGAAGGATTCGAGCCAAGAAGTGGCGACGTTAGAGAAAGAAATGTCGAGTTTGAAACTTGAATTAACCAATAAGTCAAGATTATTAGATAAATCATTAAAGAAATCAGATGAATTGGAAAGATTGTTGATTAAGGCACAAAGTGAAGGTAAGATGTTGAGATCTTTGATGCAAGAGGGAATTGGTGAAATTTTAAATTTTAGACTATTGGATGATGATTATGATGATTATGATGATGGTGGTGGAAACAATAATAATAACATTAGTAAAAATTGGAGAAATATTAAAATTAAAAAATTGGAAAAGGAATTGGAAATATTAAAAACTTTACAAGACAACAACGATGAAAACGATGAATATGATGATTATTTTGAATATGATAATAATAATATTATTATTGAAAATAATATTTATGATAACGTTGATGATATTGGTGATGACAATGTTGTTGATGATAATAATGATGGTAATCAATATTTATTAATATAATATAGTTATTATATTTATAGATGAGGGAAGAAAAAAAACAATTAAGATGTATTTGTAAATTATAGATTATATATAAATATATTTATGTTTACATTTATATTAGAACAATTTATTAGAACAATTTATTAGAACAATTTATCTATTTATTTTATTGGGACATTTTAAAACTTGAAATTTATTTATTAATACATTCTTTTTGATCAGCAAATCAAAATATGTACATATATTTTAATAAATATCAAAATTTTTTAATGGATAAATATGTTGTAATTTTAGCTTATACAGTCAACCCCCATAAATGCACAAGCTCTCTAAATGCACGCCTTCACTCATTCCCAAGCTTGGGACTTAAGAGATAAGTGCATCCCTCTATACCTGCATTGCACGGTCTTTTTTCATTCCAACTATATAAACCACCCTCCCTTAATGCACGTCCGTGACTTTCACGTGATTTTATGCATTGTTAATCGTGTAACCTTAGAAATTACATGTTGTCAATTAATTTGGCTTTGACTTAATTCCCAAAAACTCAATTTTTAATTGTGTAATTATGTTTTGACTCAATTACTTATATGTTTTCATATGAATCAATTAATTGCATCAAAAAGTCACCCAATTGAGTCAAGTGTAAGCATTGTTAGCTCTCTTAATAATGGTGAAATAGTTTTCATAAATGCTGAAGTTAATTTTATTAGTTGCCAAAATTATATCTGAAATTATTTGGACTCTTTAATTAAATATCAAAAGGCTGGATAGATTTTTTATGTCTATTGATACAAAGAATATTGTAAATCCAAAGTTGCTTACCAAAATTGATTTTTTTCAAAAACCATTTTAACTAACATTCTTATCAACCTATTTCTGTCATAGTTAACAAATTGTAATACAATGAACAAGCAAAATCAGTTAATTCTCTTAAAAAATATATTAAATTAAAAAAAAATAAATACAATGGAACAAATTACAATATATAGATTCATGTCTTGAATTTTTTTTTGTAATTTATTAGTGTTGCACGAGTCACCAATATGTGCAGCCAATAAAATGCACACTCTCCCTAAATGCATGCTCCCACTCATTCCCAAGGGGAGTGCACTTAGGGAGTTTGACTGTATATAACATTTTATTCTTTCTCTTTAACAAAAGAATACAACTCAATCAAATCAGTGCAACATACTTTGTGACAATTTAGAAAAGATTGGTAATATTTAGAAAGAATTGGCAATGATACTATCTCTCTCTGGAAATTTTCAAAAGAAAAGGAAAATTTTCATTTCACAAAATTGATTGCATTGTATAAATCATTTGATCATGATCATGATCACTCTCACAATCTTCTTTTAAAACGTCCAGAGGTTGTATTTATAAGCAAAAAAAAAAATGAAAAAGAAATCACTTGATTAAAATCAAGCCTTTTCCAAAAATGTGTTGTTAAAGAAAATTAATTAAGCTTTTTTTGAAAAAAATCCTCTCCTACTACTAAAAACACCAGCAAGAAATTAATACATTATTGATTTAGTATTAGCAAGAAAAACAATTTGGAATTCATTCATTTATTATTTAAAAAAAATATATTTAATTTAACAAGAAACAAACATTTGCAGTGTCACAACTATACATGCAGCCCAAAGTATTTTGACACTGTCATAAAGGGGGGTTACACATGTAGTAAAGAGGTGTTACACTTATGTTTTTAATAGTGAATGCCGTAATTAATTTCTACTTTCAAAATCACCAAACCAATTTGGGCTGCATGTATAGTCACAACCACCCTGATGGCAGAGTATCTTTCTTTGTTTGTTTAAATAAAATTAAATAAATATTAATGTGTGTGCAATCTGAGTTTCCTAACCAATAGGTTATTTATAGCTCAACACACAGCCTACTCACCGACTTACAGTTGATTCTATTGTTTGACACACAGCCTACTTGCTGACTTACAGTCAAAGATTAATAATAAAATAACTTTTATCCTCCTGGGTAAAAGGGTCCCTGGGTTCTATGTAAATGATTATATCCCAAAGGCGTCCCCTTGAGATGTATCTGAATAATTAAAAGGGTTCCCAACTAATAATTAAAGGTTGGCCAGACCATTAACCATTAGAAGGGCTGGGGGGTCAATCACACTGGGTTTATTAGTTACTTACAGTCAAAGACTATTTTATGTAAGGTTATATATTTATTAAGAGTTATTATTATGTTGTTGTTATCAAGGTTGTTATTAACAATATTAACAATTGATTTATTAATTATTCTATTAACTTGGTCTAAAGTCAAGTGTATTTATACCTCTTGGGGCAGTACAAATAATGTGATATGTGCTACTCTACTCTTCAATAATATGCTTATCAACTAATTACTAATTCTAAATAATATTTACATCAGATGAGAAGTTAATAAATTTAAATATAGAAATATGAATAGGAATAGACTTTCATATGACACTGCGCAATGTTCGGTGTAGCCGTTACAATAATATAATATTTAGCGCATCACATGACTTCCGTAGTAAATTCGTTCTAATTGGTCAATATTAACCGGGTAATTGATAGGTCCAAGATTTACTATCTCACACTACAAATTAATTAATGATAATTAAATATATGGGACATAAAAGATAAACAATTATACAAATAAACAATTAGAAAATAATAATAAAATAATAATAGAGATTAAATTGTCCCAGAATTAAGAGATTTGGCCAAAAGATCTTTGTCAAAGTTTAATTCCGGTAACAATATTTTTATCCCAACAGGGATAAACAAATAATCAATTCAATTGTCAATTAATTAAATGCACATTTTAATTTTAGTAATAAACAAATAATCAATCCAATTGTCAAGTAAATGAATAATAAATTTCAATTGTCAATTGATTAATTAAATCAATTAGTAAAATGTGCAACACTTTGTTTTTAGTAATAAACAAATAATCAACTTGATTAAATGCATGTTTTATTTTTAGTAATAAACAAATTAATCCAAAAAACAGGATAAATGATAGTAATATTAAATAGCATCTTTAGCTAATAAACAATAAACAATTCAATTGTCAATTAATTAATAATAAAATGATGCTTTTCTTATAAAAAGTAAACAAATGATGTGATTTTTTCAATCTTTTCAAAAAAAATTTTATTCAATTTCCTTCCAATTTCCATTGGCAAATAATACAATATCATCATCCATTATAAGAAATCAAAAGAACATTTTAAACCAAAAAAACAACTTTTTTTCTCAACCATTTTTTTTTATGATTAGAATTTGTCAATTCTGTTTTATCATTTCAATGTAAATACATACAAGCAAATGAAAGCTTCCAGTGATGACAAAGTAGAGATTCTTGCAAAAAAATGCAAAAATATTAATATAGAAACAGATATACCATATGCAGAATCTTCTAAAAATGCAGCCAAAAGAAAAGCAAATGAGGACATAAACAAAGAACAACAACAAAAAAAATTAAGAAATATTTACCATTTATCTGCCTTTATTTTTTTAGGAATATCCACTTAATATGTTTTTTTTAAATATCTAGAATGTCCTTGTCCAACTTGTAAGGGGACTGATCATTCACATTCTTCAAGCAACCTTTGTAAATTTGAAAAACATTGTGCATCCAAATCTGTTCAAGAAAAAAACACAAAATACAAACAATGCACAGTAAAAACTGGACTTGGAGGATTCTTAAAGATAAAGATCTTGAGCCTGCAATCCAAAGTGCTGTTGAAAGAATGACTCAAATTGTTTTTGAAGGCTCTTGATTGGCTAACCAAACAGCACTTTATCATGTGACCCTTGGTGATCAATTTCCTTTCAACAAAAGTGAAGGTGCTTTCAAGTATATGAGGCAATGTTTCCAAGCTGTAACTACATCCAAAAACACCCCTGACACCACCAATGAACCCATCATAAATAATATTCAAGATACACTCTATACACAATATTGACCTCAAGGAATGAGTTGGACAAATAAAAAATCATTAGGACAACTTCTCTCCTCTGCTGCATGGCAATATGTTACAAATTGTCAGAACCACATAACAACAAATCTTGATAACTGACTTAAAAGATGGATAAAATATAAATTATTTAAAATTCATCAATTTCCTTTACCCAAAAAAACACATCAACACCATTATAAACCATTTCTAACTTGAAAACTTGAGATCTCCCTTCCCTCCCTTCAAACATTAGTGATAAACTCTCTACATCACATCTGCAATACCTAATTTATCTTACTACCCACATTCAATAAATTCATTTGAAAGTGCAACAAACATTATTCCAAAACCAAGCTCTTGATGATGTGTCTGTAAAAGCATCCTGGTGGTCATATCTTTCAGGTCTTTATAAAATCCTGTGCACCTTTACCAAACATAACAGGGAATGTGGTCTCCATCTCTTCACACTTATGCCTGAATATTCTTTCCAACAAAAGTACATATTAGTTGATATTGATGTTTTATATTATATGTACAAATCAATTGAGAAAGTAGGAGTAACAACCATTCAAAGATTCAGAACTGAAAAGGAAATTTGGTTGATGGAAGCATTTAATATTTAATAAAGTCACCACCCAAAATCGAATCTTTGCTTACTCCATACAAACTGATGGTCTTGCAGTATCAGTTGGTCTGGAGAAGAAAGTTGATGATGATAAAGAGGATGTTGATTAAGAAGGATTAAATATTGATTTAAATGGATGCAAAGTATTTGGACTGGATCCTGGAAGAAAATATCTGTTTATGGCAGTGAGTTCAGATGAAAAAGTTATAAGCTGTTCCAACAAGAAGTACTGGAACTTAGCAGGGTTTGTTCGTGCTTGTAACAAACATGAGTTGTGGTTGGAAAAAAAAAATCTTCAGATTGTTATTCAAGATGAGCTATACTTTGTTAATTTAATTCGCTGTTAAACAAGAATATCATTGAATAATATTACTTATATGGGGCATACTGCAACAAAACCAGACAAAGTGAACATTGGTATAACCAAGAATT